GAGAGAGAGAGAGCGAGAGAGAGAGAGAGAGAATTTAAGTAGCATATGAGTTGTTTAAGACAAAGGCTTCATTTGGAATGAATATCTTATTGCTTCTCAAAGCAATTTTTTAGAACAAAAATTTCTAATTTACTAATTTTTTGTACTAAAAAGTTACTTTATAAGTAATAAAAAAGTTAAACAACGCCTAAGTTTAATACCACACACACCTTAAGTAGCAAACTAATTATTTATAAAGTTGATTCCAAAATATTTGTAATAAATATCTATCACATGGTTATACCTCTCTCAAAAGCTTAACATCATGGGGAACACAATCACAAAATCCATTTCTAAAATAGTAGTTGAAGAGTTTTTTATATTTCTTGATATTTTGCATGCGCAAAGGATATCTTACGAATATTAAGATTGTAATTTATTTTCAATTTATCAATCCTAATAACATGTTAGTCTTTGTATGAATTTCATTTTTTATATTTTTATTTAATTATTCATGTAATGAGTTTGTCCACCCTTAAATTTATAGCTGGTTCTGCCCATATTTGTAATGTTTGTAAGATTAATAAAGGTGCTTTTCTAGCTATTATTGAACCAATGGTTAACTTGTTTAAACTTTCTCTTTGTAAATGTCAGTTGGGGTTTTCATTTCCTTATGTTAATCCTAATGGTAAAATCTAGCTATTTTGGAATAATGACATTTACTTTTCTATTATTGTTGATTTTGATCAAGTCATCCATTGAAGTTTTTTTTTTAACCACATTTTGGATATGGGTTCTATTTATTATGCTAAATGCACTAAAGTTGGTAGAATCCCTTTATGACATCAATTAAATGATTTTGTTTGCTCTTTTAAGTGCCCTTAGTTTGTTGGTGGGGATTTCAAATTGCTAATGCGTCTGAAAGGATTGGTGGCTCCCTTTCGAATTTTTCTGCTATTAATGACTTTAATAACATGATTTCAGATTGTGGACTTATATATATTTTGGTTAAGTTTACTTGGTCTAATTATAGATTATAAGAGAGATTGGATAGAATTCTTTTTACTTTTGAATGGATTTCTCTATTTCATAACGCTACTATGGAGCATCATAGTAGAATGATCGCGGATCATGCTCCTCTTCTTGTTAATATTAGCCAATCTTCTTCTTATGACTTTGGTACATTTCATTTTTAGAATATGTGACTTCAATCTAGTAATTTCTTTAAAATTGTGCAAGATAACTGAGATGCCTCTATCTCTTAGTATGAAGGTTTTAAACTCAAATAGCTCAAGCAAGTGCTAAAATGGTGGATAAAATATGTCTTCATTAATATTTTCAAAAATATTATCAAAGTTGAAAAGGAAGTTATTCATTTGGAGGACAATTTTATTTCTAATACCAATGATGAGAACAAGGATCTTTTACTTAAAGCCTAAAATTTTATTCTAAGTTCATTTTTGATAATGATAAGAACACTAAATATTTTCATGCTTGTGCTTACAGTAATAAAATTAAATCTCTTATTCATAAAATTAAATTAGATTGTGGCACTTGGGTGGAGAATGAGGATTTTATAAAAAAACTCTGCTATCTCTCATTTTAAAAATTTACTTGGAAAATATAATTATGCGGAGAACATTTCTAATCCTTATTTTATTCCATCCATTATCAAGGACAATGATAACTTTCAGTTTACAAAGTGTCATGATGATGATGAAATTCATAGCACCCTTATGTCTATAAAGAAGGATTTGTTGTCTGGCCCTGATGACTTTACAATCATCTTTTTTAAAAAATATTGACATATTATTAAAAAAGATTTATGTAAAGCTTTTTGGTGCTTCTTCAATGTTATGCCTATCCCTTAATTTTTTTGTAAGTACTTATATAATCCTTATTCCTAAACATGACAATTTTGAGGGTTGGAATGATTTTCGTCTAATTAGTCTTTGCACTATTTTTAATAAACTGTTATCTAAAATTATGGCTTCTCGTATGACTTCTCTCCTCCCTATTATTATTTATACTAATCAGTTTGGTTTTTTGAAGGGAAGGAACATTTCTGATAATGTGCTTCTGACCTAATAAATTGTTGATATCAATTATAAAGTGTCTGGTC